TTTGGTGTAAACATTTGGTAATTTCTGTGTACATTTTCACATTGGTCTCGATCAATAATCATGATAATCGCGTCTCATTAGAATACTAATGAAATTTCAGTGTTTTATATGGGACACAGAATGTATACGAAGATAGATCGATAAATAACGCTCACTCGCTACGCAATTCGACAACAAAAACAGATGCAATGGTACGGGTATACTCAGCTTGTAGCTTCATTACAAATTTCGATTACAAATACCGTTTACGGTGAAGTTGAATGTGGACGCGATGTCAACGAGATTCAAGCAATGTGCAATAATCGAGTTTTTAATGGCGAGAAACGTTATAACCATTACATTATAACACAATTACCGATTCGGTAATAAATAGCCGAAAGCAGCGTTCACGCGTTTCTGTATTTTCGCATCGTATGAATTAATGGATTCAGTATAGTTTGTAATAGCAGTTTCTGTAAAAGGTTATTCACACTATGGCGAATCATTCATTTGTCGAGCCAATTGTTCGTTCTGTGTAGTAGCGCATGACACGTACATTTCATATGCGGGCGCACAGTGAAATTAGATAATTAAATGAATTTACGTAAGCGAAGTTCAATTATAATTGTACGTAGCATCTCTTCCGAGAAATCAATCGCTAGTACCCTCCCTTACCAAAGTTGCCAATATGTTTAAAGCAAATTAGAAATCGCAAATTGCAATCTGCCATGCCATTTAAAATATTGTCGTTATTATTTGGACTTAGCTAGTTAACTGGGAAACTGAGAAGCTACATGCGATTATAATTGAACTTTACTTAGGTAAATTCGTTTAATTATCCAATTGTATTTGGCGCCCCTTCCTCGAGATCGATTGGCGGATGTTTAAGGCATCTAATGGCAACAAAAAGAATGTAAATTCAATTGTAACAAAAGGGGAAGAATTAATATTTATTATTATACTTAAACATATTAGAAGAAAAGTAGCGATTACACAAAAAGAAAGCTTTCTAATTTGTCATTCTAAAATTATCTCATACTGCGTAAACTAGATTTCCAAACTCGTATTTGCAAACATATCTGCGTCCTGTATTATCGATAAGGGATGGATTATGGTTTATGGTAGGACACGGGACGTAACAACATGGGGCAATTATTTAACAACGCGAAGGAACAATACGAGACAATTGATAATCGCAAAAAATAAGTGAATCGAGCGGAATTGCACTACAGCGCCATGAGGGTCACCGGTGACCTCAGTGAGATAAATTCATTAATGATGATTATACACCGTAACATATCTGTCGTAGGTAATATTTCAACATTATATGTATCGAATAATAAAAAATTCACCGTAGCGTCACGGCCAAACCTTGTAAAACTGGCATGGCATTCAACGAGTTAATCATAATTTTTCTAAGAATAAAGAATCATTGGAACCTTCTTGAGCTAAGGCGCCAAAGATAGCTTTAAGATTCCATGTCTACTAGCTATATTTTGCATTACGTGGTCTTATCTTGGATACTTTAGTGAATTTCCTTGTTTTGGCATCCTGTCGCACTCGTGATCTTAATATTAAAAGAGAGATTGCCAACCGCGGACTATTGACAGAACATTGAAGGCATTCAAAAAATGTTCAAATTGGAACAGCCAACGATCAGAGAGGAAATTAGAAGACACGCAGGAAAATATAAAGAAAGAATAGGAACACACCCAAAGCTGTGGAAACTATCAACACCTCAAACATGGATAGAAGACTGAAAAGGAAATACCCAGCAGACCTCACAAAGGACACAAACAAGAATCTAACAAACACGAAGATGGTATCCCATTGGGGGTAGCCACCCACATGATAATCTAACAGCTGAAAAATTCTACCAAATGTCCAAACTGAACAAATTGCGAATGTAAGCAACTAAATAAAAAAAAAAAAAAAAAATCAGAACCTCTAAACGGATCTACAGATTTTTCCTGACAAAGTTCCACCGTTTCCTGGAACTCCCATCATAATTCCTTCGGGGACATCTCTTAAGAAACTGTCGAGCAGAGCACTCTTCTGGCACCAACAAGCTCAATTTCAATGAAACCATATTTACCACTTATTATATGCATAAGATACGATTTATTCAATTCATGTCGTATAATAAGTTTTTACAAGATATATGTATACATTAAATATATTGTAATTTCTAATACATATTTTCAGATTCATTTCAGATTTTAGCAATATAATCGTAACAGTCGTCTTTCATTACAGTATTAATGAAATTTCAAAATATTTTATACGGCAGATACACAAAGTTTATAATAAGTGTTCAAATAGTTTCGCGAGCTAGTGTAATTAAATGCTCGCGTTTTCAGTAGTTTCGCTACTTTTATGTAAAAAAATATAAAAATGTAAATGTATGGGTGGTTGAAGCGACAAAGCGAGATCATAATATCGGTCAATAACTGTTAAAATATTTTTGTGCGAAATATATATATATATGTTTATATGTATTTGTGTTAAATATTTGTAAATTCTATATACATTATTAGATTGGTTGCAAACTTTACTGATGACCATAATAGTCATCTACGTCGGTTAAAACTAGATCATAGATATTTATGCAAATTTTTGCAAATTTCAATATTAAATTTTTGTAATTTACAGAATGGAATTTAAAAAATGTTGCATCTACTAAATATTATAAAGTCTATTATGCATCATATATTTTATATATCTTAGCATATTATATGCTTTTCGTGCATTTTTGTACTTCCATAAGCCCATGTATCAGTAAATGTCATCGCATTTATACATCGCAGTGTACATAAAAATAAGATTGTTTAAGCCGAAATTTTTAAGCAAAGGTTCACGACCAACCGACAGATACTCGATTTTCTGAACATCGTTTTTGTTTATATCGATCCGCTAATGACTTCTTAATGGAGTTTACAATAAAACCGTTACCATTAATCAACGACCGTCTAATTAAACGTCGATTTGGCGCTGCGATTAAGTCTGTGCTTTATTTTCAACTACTGATAACGAAGAAACTTTTGACGTTAATAATGATATAAAGAGATACGTGTATCCACGAGACGAGTAAATGTAGAAAGCGAGTAAATAAATTTAAGAATTGTTAAATATGAAAATTATCATTACACTGTGGATTTTATGCAACATTATGTACTGTGAATTAAAACCTCGACAGATATTTGTTTCGTCTACTTTCACTAGTATTAATATTTATTTATTTATCCTATTATGTCGCTTTAATACAGGGTGATCCATTTAATTTTTATTTTTTCTACACAACCACATACCTTCTTCTATCGCATCTTACAGCTGATGATAAAGTTTAGTTACGTATAGTGATAGGTATAATAATATGATCTCAAAGTGACCTTCATCTCGTGAGATTTATGCCCATCGAGATCGCAGGTTTTAGCAAACGTGGACGGCGGAATCAGAGAATATAAGGAAATATTTTCTACTGCAATGATATCGAAAAGATTTGATCGCGAAAGTAAGCTTACTTTCTCTTAAGTTATCGTTCTTCATTTTTTCTTGCTTCGACTAATTCATTACGAACGGTACATCGACACGCTGACAAATCGAAAGCGATTAGGTCTTCAGATCCTAACGAGTCATCTGTGCGATGGTAAACATGTTCATTTACATTTACCGACTCTCGCCTGTCGTTTCAGATTTCATGTTTAATTTTCGAAACTAAATGTCACTTCAAGCTACTACACACACATAACCGTATTTTATCATTAATTACTCGAGGCGATAGAAAAAATATATATGTAGTCGTGTGTTAAAATGGCCTTGTAAATTCTAAAAAAAAAAGAAAACACCTTGGAAGAAAGATATTTCCACAAGATGTTGGTCCCTTAATACTAGCCGAATTTCGTGTAAAATACTTTTCGCATTATCACGTTTAGCAGATTACTACACACATACGTTCATGCATACACACACACATACGTTTCCCCTTTTTCTCGTCGTACGAATTATGTGTCAATATTCTACATTAATATCGATATAGTACTTATATAAAATAATTAACATGCAGCAGTGGTAAATATTATGAGTATGCACAGATTGACATGTTCTATAGTTCAACGAAGATAAGCATTTCAGTGAAATCTGGAACTTAAAAGCAAAAGATATTTACAGTGGCTACAAGAAACATCGATACATCATTGTATTTGTTATAAGGCTACGAAATGTAATTCTATGAAAATGGAAGTTAGTCTGAAGTTTAGTCTGTGATTTAAAAGCGCATAAACAAACTTTTGAGTCTTAAATTTGTTGACTATCGTAGAACACATTTTGTATTAGCTTAACAACTACGTATAGGGGAACAAAATATTTTGTCACACAGTCGTTCGTGATACAGTTTGGACGAAATATCTTGCGATGCAATGTCGTTCGCATGATGCTTTGTACGAGATAGCTCGCGAAGCAATATCGCTCATGTGACGCTTTGCACGTGATATGTATGTTACATATTTTTTTCATTAGAAAAAGAGATCTCGCGCAACGATTCGCATAAAAATCAATTCGTAAGACACTGCATATTTGTGAATATAAAAGAGACTAAAAATGCTAAACGGAGAAAATGTTGTGTTTCTATGAGCAAATGATCTTATACCTTCGTCGTATGAAATAATTCGAAACACGGTATTATACATAATGGTACGTTACAGTTGTTACAAAAATAACTCGTTTGTTTACGTATATTATTCTCCCTACAAAGTACGCAGCGTTTTGTATGATAGCATTTCTTTGCCGTAGGAGGTATTTTCTTAGGGAAACATCCAAATTTAATGCAAAGCGGGAACTTCTTCGGAGATCCCTCTGTTTTCAGATGGAAATCTCCAGCTGGTATAAAATACTTCTCTAACAATCCAGAAATAATGTTTTCTTTTATCTCGCGAAAAGTTTTTTTATTTCCGTGATAAGAGTTCCATATTACGAGAGAATTAAATATCGTTATCTCGAGCAAATGTACAAAATACTGCTTGTACCATTTTATAGATTTATTTATGGACAAATGTTTCTGTAAAATTTGATGGATTTGATTTGCTCCACTCATGTATATATTACAATCTAGAACGACATTGGGTTTTTTTCGGTATTGTCCTGTAATCTGATCAATATTAGTAGACAACACCATGCAGGGAGTATGTACAGTGGTAAGAGTTGGTACTAGCTTCTTGTCTTTCCACAAACAAAAAGCCACTACTCCGTTATATCTGACTAGCATTTGTCCTTTCTCCAATCTATTTATATCTTTTGCAATTACCCCGTAATATGGCATTTCCTTTCGTTTTAGACGTACAATACCGCAAACGTTAGTTCCATTTTTATGTATTATTTCGTACAAGGCGGGAGACGAATGGTAATTATTGAGGAACAGAGTTCTTCCTTGTTGAAGCAAATGTTCGGTTAAATGTAACACAATGGAACCAGAGGCGCCAAGTGGTTCGGAATTCAGTTTACGTAGCAATTGCCTACTGTAAAGTTTCAAATTGTATACATAACCAGTTTCACATTCAGCCAAAATAAAGGTTTTTAGCCCAAATGTTGCTCGTTCGTTAGGAGCACACTCGTCAAATGGCAGCCTATTTTTCCATAGCATCAAGCTTTCATTTACGACGATATTTCTTCCTGGTCGATACGCGCTTTGAAAACGCGACAGTAACATGTCGATAACAGGTTGTATCTTACACGTTGCATCAATATTTTTTCTATTTATTTTGTCATTATCCTCATCGCTGAAATGTAAGAATCGCAGGATTCGTAGGAATTTGTCTCGTGACATAATTTTCCTTGTGAATTGAAAGTTGTACATGGGTTTGGTATTCCAATACATAGAGATCGTAGGTAAATGGACTATACTCATGTAAATAATAATAGCGATGGCACAATACATATCAGCAACGGTAATATTATAAGGAACCTTGGTAAAACCTTGTTTCTTTCTGTATTTGCTACTTTTGTTCACGATCATTTCAACGAGCTCCTGATTGAAAAAGTATTCGAAGACAGAAGTGGGGCAACTATTTCTTGACAAACCAGATGCCTCCTGCACTCCATTATTAAGATCTATGTAATATATAACGCGTGGTTCAAAATTTCTCGTAGCTGTTGGTATCTTCCACTGTCTTTCTCCGCCACTATTTAATTTTCCTGATAACCGAGCGTCATCGTCATTGCATTGCACATCGTCGTTACTACTGTCTTCGGTATCGCTAATAATACGGTTCTTATGATATCGTCGCACCATGTTCGCTACGCTTACGGAATGCCAAATGAAAACTATTGTTACGAGTTTAACGTAGAAACGACATACTATCGTGCAAAGCGGCCGATAAACGACTGACGAGTCTCCTCACGACGCGATACAGTTCGTACGACGCTACGGAAATATCCCGCGTGTTTGTATATTAGGACGAAAGTTGTAACTACAGAAAAATAGATTCACAGGATAACATCGTGCGAACAATATTGTGTCGCCATCCGTATCTGTTTCGTGGTTCCAAAACGGTTAACAGCATTTGAACCTGAGATATTTTGTTCAAAGCATCGCATGAATGACACTGTGTCGTGAGGTATTTCGTATAAGGCGTTGTACGAACGACACTGCGTTCTAAAATATTTCGTTTTCAAATAAGAAGGGATTAAAAACCTAAACATAACAAATGGAGTATTGAAACGACGAAAATAACAGAAACTGTTTACTTGGGGGTATGAATTCTGATGAATTTGCTTTGTCCTTGTTTATCCCGTCGATTTGAAATTGAAACGCAATTATCTAATTATTATTAACACCTTGTACAGAAATCATTGTACTTTTTAATAATATAAGAAATGAATTTTCAATAGGCAATTGTGAAGCATCGAGTATTTAGAATAAGAAAAAACTCGAAAGAATACGAGTCGTACTGAACTTTTGGGAGACTATTTGCATATTTGACCCTATAGACTAGCATACACGAGCAACTTGCACATACAAATAGAGAAATTCCACTTATTTCCTTGCATCCTGTTTTATGGATGAAAGGATAAAATGGCTGAACGTAATAATCCTTCCTTCGTACTAATTTGATGTGAGAATTGTATCGTTGAATAAAGATAAATACCTACAAATCGAAAAATTCTGCTTAAATGAATATGTATACATGCATTTATAGTCAAATTAATATTCATGAATTAAAATTATTTTCATATATTCGAAAACAAAAGGACATGTGCTTATACGTAACTATCTTGTATATCGCGTTGACTGGCACGCGTGTTTTCAAAGAAATCTCCGTCAGGCCACGCGTACAGTACCAAGCGTTTTCTGCTAGGTGCTCCCATCGATATTTTAGTAATGCGAGTCGCTCAAGCGGTGGTCTCAAGAATGATCTTTCGTTTCGCTTGTTCGCAACGTTAAAACCACTAGCTGTCGTTGAATATAACGAAGGAAAGTGTGGTATAGATTATTCCGACCAAATGGTTTCTTATGCCACCACGGTTAGAAAAGGAATCAAATGGTACAGAAAACTTGGCATTCGATTCCTTCTGGAAATTTCTGTTGTAAACGCTTTGACGGTTTACAAAATTGCAAGAAGAAAAAATATAAATATTTGAATATTTAAACGATTATTAGTTGGAAAATTATTAGGGTTGTCTGAGAATACAAAAAGTCCTTGTCTTCGACGGAGCCGGCATAATATCGCCGTTCGGAGAAATGATTCCGAAAGAAGCATTAGACGCGCGTGCAAACTATGTTATGCAAATAAAAGACGTGGAATGAACCGAACAAAGGCACGAAAGAATTTGAAGAAAACAACTTATTGTCCAAATTGTCCCGACCAACCTCACCTATGTATAGAATGCTTTAAAGTTTTACATTCTAAATAATTTTTTTAATAAATCATTTTCGTATTTTTATTTTATAACGATTCAACTATTATTACAATTAATTATTAATTATCAATTTATTATTATGGAATGTCTTTTCAAATACCTACGACGATCCTTCGCAAGTAGTCAAATAAGCGACACCCTAATATGTGTTACGTGGCCTGACCAGATACTTTGCACACACTCGAATACGGGTGTCGTAGCGGTCAACGTGATATAAGGAAAAAGTATACTTGTCTCTTTCATGAAATGCAGATATACACGATCACGTATAATTTGATGGTAAATAAATGTTTAAATAAATATTACAAAGGATAATAAGTCGATATAGTTTTTATACAAGTTTTTACTTATTGCAATATCGTGTACCAATAAGTATTCATATTTTATTTATTTAATATCTTTAATTTTCCCTTTACGTCAAAAGTTGTGTTGTCCTTTCTCAATTTTTCACGCAACTTGAATATTCCATCGTCCCAGAAATTTTCAGGTTTTTCGGCGAAAAACTTTTCAATATGTCGACCAAAGAGTTACAGTTTTTGCCATTAAGGGAATTTTGTAATGACTTAAATAGGTGAAAATCTGAGGGTGCAACGTCTGGTGAATACGGTGGACGTGCTAGCACATCCCAAACAAGCTTCAATATCTTTTGTCGAGCCGTCAAAGACGCGCGAACCCACGCATTGTCCTGATGAAACTCGAAGGACTTCCGATTCGCTAGTTCTGGACGTTTTTGTTCAATTGCTGTCTTTAATTCGTCTAATTGCGAGCAATATTTTTCCGAATTTATCGTCTGGTCGTCTGTCACCATAAACAGCGCATATATTGTTTGCTACTTGTGTAGCATTTTTGTCTTTTCGGTAAAAGAAAGTCATCAAATGCCTTATAATGCACTTTATTTCCTTTCATATTTAAGAGCATATGAAACTAACAAAAATTAATGTATTTTAACCAAACCCTTTTCTAAAAATGCATCAAATATCACCTTTTACAATATATACAAGTCTTTTTTTTTTCAATCATTCTGATATATTGAGACCTGTCTTAATGCCACCTACTGAAAATCTAATAACCTACTGAAAATGTAATATATAATTTAAATATATTTATAAAACAATCTTATAACTCCTGTATATATTGTGTATGATGGAGGCAGACATAATTCTGCTTCTTTTTCCCTTTTATAATTTATCAAGTGTCTGATAAAATCTCATATAAATAGTTCATAGAAATAATTCAGATCTAATTCCTATATCACAATATCGAATCTTGATTCTGTAAGTATGATAATATAACCATAGTGTTTGAAGAATAAGAAATCAAAATATATGACTATTTCAGCTTATTGAAACAGATTAATAATATGTAAAAATACAATTTTATAGTTTATATGTACATGTATATTTATATGTATGTAAGTACCATTGATCGTTTTAGATAATAAATGCTGTAAACATGCTGTAAAATAAACATAGGGATAAATAGAAGCCTTTCAAGTTTATGTTATATATAAATATCAAATCTGAAAGATCCTAAGAAGTGTATCAAAAAAAGGTATAGAATCCAAAAATGACCAAACATTACTTTATTTTATACGAATTTTATTAACAAACCTATTATATCATCTTTATACGCTGTAACATTAAATTTGAATAGAAGTTTATTTTAGGATAAGTTAAGTTAGTCATTTTGTTATATACGTATATAAATTAATGCAAAATATATAAAATAGAATTATATAAATATTTGTTCATATAAGTTGTGGAGTTTTCTGATTTTAATGCCATCCAATATCGATAAATGTTATATATATGTAGTATCGGGAAAAACCTGGGAAATTAAGATCTACTTGACCATGGATCATCCACGTCTGTGAAACATGTGCGTGCCGGGTATACCGGAGCCATGGTATAAGAGGTAGCCGTTAGTTAGTTGAAAAGTGAGTGTTGTCAGATTGCCAAGGAGTGTGATTATCGTTGTCAAGGAGGGTGGTTAGCGTGAAAAAGAGCGTTGGAAACGTCGTAACGAGAGTAGAGAGTGACGAATGGTGACTGCGTGCATATAGATTGACAGTGCATCCATATATATACATATATATATATTATATATTATATATCACATATTACATATATATATATGTCGCACCTACTTTTAGATTCTCTTGCTTGATCATCAAGTGACACTAAAATCAGAAAATCGACAAAAATGTCATAATCCACAATTATGCTTGTTTCATCTTAGGTTAAAAAACACAATGTATTGCGTTATCATATTCTTTGTGATATCCATATTATTACCAAGAAGTGAGGTAGTATATTCAGGTGGTATATTCAGGTACGAACTATAATAATTGTGCTCGAGAGAGATGTAACAGGCGCAACCATGCTGCATGTTATTCATAACGAACAGTGCATCGACATCTCGAACATCTACGTATCTTAATATGCAAATAACTGCACAGTTACAACAGACTTACGAACTAACATCATAATAAGGCCTCAGAACACTTAACTCGTCCTTTTACATTTTACAACTTGCAAGATTTCTACGTTGAAAAATACATTGTCAATTTGCCAATAAGTCACTTTCATATAGAAACTTATTACCTATATCCTAAATCTTATCATTTGTGTATTGCTATATTTATATTTATAAATTTGTTAATATTTTCTCTTATTATAGCATACTTATTATTTTTTTTGCATCGTAGTAATTATTATTACGCGTTTTCTTATTATCTGAATGATATAATTTTATTACAATTGTTAAGATAACCTGATCGCCTTAAGTCGTGAATACTGAATTTATTAAAAATTAATGAACCAAAGATAATTGTTCAGAGTCAATTAAGTAGACGGTAATTAACTGTAAGAAGCAAGTTCAATACATTGTACATTGTACATCGCAACATTTCTTTCCTTACAAAAAAAAGTTATTAATTCATGAATTTTATTGGTACTGTTTAGTATTTTCCTTCTCAGCTATAAAACAACAAATATGAGATCTATGCTTACTCAACGGATATATCTATATTCACATCCACTCGTTATTCTCAATCAATTACAGACATTCGATATTTTATTAAGTTTCGTTATCCATTAACAACTAATCAATAAAGAAAATTCGTTATTAATCGAAGAATTGGTATGTCATAAAGAGTATGTGTGTATAGCAGCATCGAGCAGATGTTCAAAATCGTTTTTATTTTCTTTTTTTTTTACCGAAAACGAAAGCATCAGTGAATCAGACTTTGCTTGATTTCCGAACACCAAATATATTTAAAACATTTTGATGCACGCGGTTGTATGAAATAGATACAATGACTCATAAAAGTATTTTACAACTACTATTGTTATGATAGAAAAGCCTAAAACCAATCTGAAAATATACATAAAACTTATTTACAAACATATATTTAATAAAGATTAGCACACAGCATTAATAATCTCCTCAGGTATGCCTACACTAAGTCCAAAAGTGATCCCAGTAAATATTTAGGCTTATTTTATACATATGGAAAATGGACTGTTTAAATACTTTCATGATTTGTACAAAATATCTACATGTGTTAGGTGTTTTGTAATATCTATTTTCAGATTTGCTAAAAAATTTACCGATATAACTATGACAATCGGATTTTGTTACAATACTAATGACATTTCAAAATGTTTCTTACTAGACATATAGTATATTCATAAACGGTGTCTTTTACAAGAATATGAATACTTTTATGAGCAACTGTATAAAAAGAACGCTGTTACTTGACCGCTATTTTGATCTTCTAGAACGTTTCTTGCACTTTCGTCGTACTTGAGTAGACGCAGTATCTTGACGTGCTTGAATAGGCGCACTAAAACAACACATGGTAACTTATGGAAAAAAAGATCCTGCTATTAATGTGTAGAGTAATTTTATAATTTGTACATACTTGAATTTATGAACATTAAAATAGAACGATGGTTCAGTATTAGGAGGATCAAAATTAAATCCTCTAGATTGGATTGAAGCACGGTCCTAAAAAGGAAATCATATATTAATCATAATAATGTTAATAAAACACAATCATTAACACAGTTGGTATCGCGAACCTCTAATATACTACAACACGATTTTGTAAATTTCTTTCTATACCACTGTAAAAGAGCTTTCAAAAATAGAAATACAGTAACTCTTACTAGTACCAGGTCATGTACGCAGTATTCGAGATATTACTCTTCTGTATATTTGTTTATAATAGTGTTTATGAATAAGCCATGATAATCGTATTTTATTATAGTAGCAATGGAATCTGAAAATATTACAGGGTGGTTGGTAACTGGTGGTACAAGCGGAAAGGGGGTGATTCTACGCGAAAAAAGAAGTCGAAAATATAGAATAAAAATTTTTCGTTTGAGGCTTTGTTTTCGAGAAAATCGACTTTGAATTTTCGCTCGGTACGCGTGCATTTTATTACGTCTCGTTATAACGGATCTCACTGTAGATCGTTGTCTCGATTGACGTTACTTTTTTAATTTTTTAAATTTTTAAATTTTTAAATTTTTAAATTTTCAAATTTTTAAATTTTTAAATTTTCAAATTTTTAAATTTTTAAATTTTCAAATTTTTAAATTTTTAAATTTTCAAATTTTTAAATTTTTAAATTTTCAAATTTTTAAATTTTTAAATTTTCAAATTTTTAAATTTTTAAATTTTCAAATTTTTAAATTTTTAAATTTTCAAATTTTTAAATTTTTAAATTTTCAAATTTTTAAATTTTTAAATTTTCAAATTTTTAAATTTTTAAATTTTCAAATTTTTAAATTTTTAAATTTTCAAATTTTTAAATTTTTAAATTTTCAAATTTTTAAATTTTTAAATTTTCAAATTTTTAAATTTTTAAATTTTCAAATTTTTAAATTTTTAAATTTTCAAATTTTTAAATTTTTAAATTTTCAAATTTTTAAATTTTTAAATTTTCAAATTTTTAAATTTTTAAATTTTCAAATTTTTAAATTTTTAAATTT